CCAGTGGAGCTAAAAAAGACAATGCAAATGCACTCAAGTTCTGTGCAGCTTAGGCCCATTTATGACAGGTATTGCATCAAAAATAATCATTATAGTTACCTTAAAACATAAATGTGTGGTCTGAGAGAACACAGTTGGAACAGTGTATCAGCACAAGTCAGTACAGAGTATGTCCAGATACACCAGATGCTGCAAGCACTTGGATATTCCAGATATATTGAGCCTGTTCCAGATACGTAACAAAGAGTCATCATCTCCACATGTGGAAATGTACTGGATTTTATCTACATCTACAAATTATCACAATGCTTAATAGGATGGTTTTTGTTAGAGTGGAGCTCAGATTTCATGAATTTTGATTCATTGCGTCAAAAGTGCAGGCTTGATTAACCTTTTATCAAACAGCCAAGCAAATCACACACACATCAAAACGGTTTCTATGCTTTTCATCAGAGTCCTTGACAGGTCATGTAGAGCTGCGTAAAAACAACTGAAGAGGACTGGTGTTAAAGTTCCAAGAAGCTGCAGGCTTTGAGGTTGCCCAGAGGACACAGTTCAGGGAAACTCCTGAGACTTGGGGAAAAGGGGATCTGTGCAATTCCTCAGCTTGTTTTAGAGAACCAACTAAGCTACAACTTTTAATGTATTATTTATTTATTTATTTATTTAAAGATTTTCCTGTGCCGTCTCAATAGTAAAAGTCTCTGGATGGCTTACAAAACACAAAACAAAACACCCGAAAAATAAAGCAACCATAACAACAACGACACATTGCATCTGATAAATGATGACAAAAACAAGAATAAAACCAATTAACTGTTAAAATATTGTGAAAAATAAAAAGGTCTTTGCCTGATGTGGAAAAGAATAATGCGATGGCACTGGGCAAACCTCCCTGGGGAGCATATTCTCTGTCATTCCTGCCAGAACAACCTGTCATAGTTAATTTACTTGTGTCTCACTTTTTATGTTTTAATTGGTTTTTAATATGTTTTTACTCTGTTGGTATGTTTTACATTGTAAGCAACTTAGGAAGGCCTTGGCAATTATAGGCAGGATATAAATATATGTAAATAAATAAATAAATTTCGACAAGACATTGTTCTCATACTATTTCACAAAACAAATAGCCATAATTATACTACGTTACAAAATAACATAGAACCAAATTCTTTTTTAAAAGAGTGAGATTTAAGAAAAGCCATACCATTAGGTCAGGTAACATTATTTCTTATCAATGATAACATGTTGTTGTTGGGCCATCCAGTCATCTCCAATTTATGGTGAGCCTATGAATGAAAACCCTCCAGAATGCACTGTCGCCGACATCTCCATTCAGCTCTTCCAGGTTTGGGGCTGTGGCTTCCTTTGTGGAGCTCATCTTCATCCCCCTTCAACTCCCTGGCATGATTGTCTTCTTCAGGGAAACTTACCGTCTCATGGTGCACCCAAAGTATGGCAGCCCCAGTTTTGACTTCTTTGCTTCCAGGAAAAGTTCAGACTTGCACCCACTTGTTCATTTTTCTGGAAGTCCAGGGTATTTGTAACGCTCTCCTCCAGCACTATGTTTTGAATGTATCATTTCTTTTCCAGTCAGTTTTCTTTACAGTCTAGCTTCCACACCCATGCACAGTTGAGAACGCCATAGTGTGGATGATCTGGATTGCTTTCCAATGATCCTTGCACTTGATGATCTTTCATTCTTGCTCTTCCAAGTCTCAGTTTTCTTTTAATTTAGTGGTTGTAGCCTCTGCTTGAATTGCTGACTGAGCCAAGACAAGCAAAATATTTCACAGTTTCAGTTTCTTCACTGTTGACAGTAAAGTTGTCTAATTCTTCTGTAGCTGTGATTTTTGCTTTCTTAATGTTCAGCTGCAGTCCTGTTTTTGCACTTTCACTTTCATTAGGAGATGTTTCAATTCATCACCACTTTCTGCCAGTAAGATGGTATCATCAGTATATCTCAAATTACTGATGTGTTTTCCACCAATTTTCACCTCTTCCCTTGATCCTAATCCCGCTTTCCTTATGATAGCCTCTGCATACACATTCAAGATAAAATAGACCTTTGTCTGATAACTTTGCCTACAGGAAAACATTCTGTTCCACCATGTGTTGCTCACAACACTTTGGCTATGGGGTGGAATATAAATGATGATGGCAGCTTCTTGTTCACAATGCAGGTTATACATCAGGACAATCAAGTGCTGAGGCACATCCATTTCTTTCAGGACCATCCAATAGCTTCTCATGATCCACAGAGTCCAAAGCTCTGCTGTAGTCTATAAAGCATAGACTGATCTTCTGAGATTCTTTGCTGTGGTCTAGTAGCTAGCATATTTTTCGGAATCCAGCTTGAACATCTCTTGCTCCATGTAGGGTAACATTCTTTGTTACAGTACCTGGAGCATCACTTTTCTTGCATGGGAAAAAGCAATATTCATATGGTCGCTGAATTGCCTTGCATTTATTTACTTGGGAACTGGAATGTATATCCAACATTTCCAGTCAGAGGGCCATTGTTTGTTTTCCACATTTGTTGTCATATTCTTGTTACGAATTTACAGATTCATTTTCTGTAGCTACTGGTGTCCTACTTACTCTGTGTGCTTTTTTCTTTCCAACTGTTTTCAGAGCAGCTTCTAGTTCACCTTCTGATATTGCAGGGTCTTCCTCATAGGATTTCTCTTTGAAGGAATCCATCATCCTTTCATCTGTATAGTTCTTCTGTATATTCTTTTCACCTTTTCTTTATTTTTTCCTGGATTGATAGTATATCCCCCTGTTTCCACTAATTTCCCTTTGATTTCTTGGATCCTCTAGAAGAGGAGTCCTGCTATTGCTCTTTTGTTCTTTTCTATTTCTTTGCACTGGTCATTGTAATAGCTAATAAAAGCATAAGCCTGAATGTTCTGTGTCAAGTGGGAATGTCTGAAGGGAAAATGTTTCTGCATTTGGCACAGCCTGATTGTAATCCTATTCACAGCCAGGAATCCTGGCTGAGCAGGTTTCTGGATTGCATGGGGGATTCTAAGTCACTTTTCAAGACCTTTAGCTCAGCATGTGAAGATCAGCATTAAAGCCAAAAGGGACGGGGAACCCCATTCATTCTCCTTGCATTTGGTGAATTCTTGGGGGAATGGGCTTGTTGGGTATATTTAGGCCCTAAGAGAAATGTAAGTTATTACGTAGGCTATGCCCCACCAATTTTAGTAGAAATTAAGTGAAACTAAGTCTGAGTCCAACCCAGACTATTTCAGCTTGGCTCTCATTCTTGTATACAGGAGAGACCAGAGTTGACAAATTTTGTAATGTTATATGACAATTGAAAGCAAATTCAGATCAACCTGTAGCACTGTTTCTTTTACTTTACTGAGGGTGAGGGCGTGGGCACCAGAGATGTGTGAAAAATTAGTTTGAGTTTGGTTTTGTACATGGGTTACCTAGGTCACCCCTTCCAGAATGAACGCAAATGTGAATACAATCTGTTGTCAGATATTCAATTCTGTGTTTGCAATGTGATTCTCAGATCAAAAGAAATATATTCAACATCAGGCAAACATTTGAAAAATGCCATGAAAAAATGTATACTTTTGAAAAATGCATGCAGAATTCTAAAGCAATGGTGGAAGGAAGTCTATGTTTCAAATATTTGCACAGTTGATATGTACATTTGGAAAAAAACTCCCAAAATATGTATGAACTTTTATGCTAAAAGAAAAGGCAAAGATGAGTAAATTTTGCAGTGAAATTCATGGATCGCAAGTTTTTCTGGTCAGGATATTCCTTTGGATAGCGGCTACCATGTCTCAAATATCTTAAAGCTTAAGGTTTACCAGAACACGCCCATCTGTTACAAACCAAGTGGAACTTTTGAGTAAGGTTGTGAATCATTAAGTGCTGCAGTCCCACAGTTCAGGTTGAAGATGAAGAGGCCCAAGCGAGTGCAAGTAAGTACAAAGTGGGAGATTTCTCATGTGTAGACCTGGACAGGGAGCTGAAGCAGCGTAAGAGGGGTGAATGTAGGAAAACAAATGATTGAAAAAGCCATGTTACAACAGATGTAGGCAAGAGGATAACGTACTCAGCTTTGGAAAGCATGGCAGATTTTTGAAAAAGATTGTGGTTTCCTAAACCAACAATTAGGTTGCACCCCAGAATATAAATGCATACAAGGCACATCATACATACTTGCTGTTTTACTACCCTCCCATTTTCCTCTGAGCATCTTTCTTTTTTGTCTAACCTGCAAACTGTTTTTTTCAGTTTAGAAAAGCCATATGGTCATGCAACAGATTTGCCAATCTTGGTAAATTCAGATTTTAATTCTTTTTTTACTTATGTGCAGACTTGAATTTATGTCATTACCAGATTTTGCAACTGCCACTAATGTTGCAGTGCAGTTCTCAGCAGCTAAATGGCTATTATATAAACAGGCATATTTAAATGACTATTATTCAAACAGGCATTTAAATATGCATTTTGAGAGAAAATTTATGTTTTAAATAAGTCATCAAATATATTTTTACACACTCATGTTGAGGACAGATTAATGCAAAAAAAAAAAAGAAGCAGCAAATATTTATTTTAGTTATTATTTTAAGGCCACCTTTAAGTACAGAGCCATTTCACAATGGCATAGAAGAAAACTACCATTTGTGAAAGTGACAAGAACTGGAAATGGATTCATGCATCTCCAGATGTTCACTGACATCTGCAAAAGTAGAAGAGCTGGGAGCGTGACTGTTTTGGAAGAAGGAGGCTGAGAAGAAGTTCAGGGGAAAAGATTCATTGCAAAATAGTTCAGCATGTAAGCTCTTGTGGTTAGTCTCTGCCATTCGTTTTCTTACCATTCTGTGAAATCTGTAAAGCATAATTTGGCTTTGTTGTCTATAAAATGAGTGGCAAAAAGCTGACTGAGCATGTCTAAGGCTCAAATGAGCAAGTATTTAAAGCGAAACAGAGGCCAATGTTTTAATAATATCTCTCTTTCTCTGCAGTAGAGGAGTGGAGAACAGGCATGCCCTCCGACAGCAGACGGTTGTTCGAGAGAAGGGCCGGAGGCTTGCAAATCGAGGTCCAGCATATATGTTTAATGACCACTCAACCAGCCTTTCCTTTGAAGAGGAACGTTTTTTGGAAGCAGCGGAGTATGGCAATATTCCCGTTATCCGTAAAATGCTGGAGGAGTGTCCCTCACTCAATGTGAACTGTGTGGACTACATGGGGCAGAATGCACTGCAGCTGGCTGTAGCGAACGAGCACCTGGAAATCACGGAAATTTTGCTGAGGAAGGAGAACCTGTCTCGTGTCGGGGATGCTCTGCTCCTAGCCATTAGCAAAGGTTATGTCCGGATAGTGGAGGCCATCTTGAGTCACCCTGCATTTGCCGAAGGCAAGAGGCTGGCCACAAGTCCCAGCCAATCAGAGCTACAGCATGACGACTTCTACGCCTATGATGAGGATGGAACTCGCTTCTCTCATGATGTGACGCCAATCATCCTGGCCGCTCACTGCCACGAGTACGAAATTGTGCACACCCTGCTGCGAAAGGGAGCGCGTATCGAGCGGCCTCATGACTACTTCTGCAAATGCAGTGAATGCAATAAGAAGCAAAAGCATGACTCTTTCAGCCATTCCAGGTCCAGGATCAATGCCTACAAAGGCCTGGCCAGCCCAGCCTACTTGTCTTTGTCTAGTGAGGACCCGGTAATGACTGCCTTAGAACTGAGCAATGAGCTGGCTGTGCTTGCTAACATTGAAAAAGAATTCAAGGTAAAATTTTAGTCTGTGGGCAGAGGTGAGTTGTCAGGGGACCTCTACTGGATCAGGCCAAAGATCCATGCAGCAGTTCATTATCCTGGCAAATGTCAACCAAATACCTAGTGGAAGCCCAAAAGTGGGGTTTGCAGATCTGATGTGTCTGGTATTCTCCTACCTCAAGCTGCTTCAGCTTATTTCTGAAAATATGGAATTGTTGATGATTGGCTTTAGATAGCCATGGAATAAGACATCACACACAGCTGTTGCTATTCAGGCAGAGTTCCAGCCCAACTATTTATTTATTTATTTATTTAGAGTATTTGTATGCCATCCCATCACATAGCCTCGGGATGGCGTTCATAAAATAAAATAAAACATAATACACATAAAATCCCGATCAACCCTGGCTGCAGAGTAAAACCTATAAGCTAATGTTAAAAGTTATTAAAATATTGTTGAAATAAAAAGGTCTTAGCCTGGCGCCGAAAAACAAATAATGACGGCGCCGGGCAGACCTCTCTGGGGAGTGCATTCCATAGGCAGGGCGCCACCGCAGAGAAAGCCCTCCTCCAGGTACTTTGCCTCTTAATGTCTTTCACGGAGGGTTCCTGGAGGAGGGCCTCTGCTGACGATCTCAGGGGGTGGGAGGACAAATACGGAAGAGGGCGTTCCTTTAGGTATCCAGGTCCCAAGCCGTTAAGGGCTTTATAGGTAATAACCAGCACCTTGAATTGAGCCTGGACTTCGATGGGAAGCCAGTGAAGCTAGTACAGGACTGGGGTTATATGAGAATAACGCCCAGTCCCCATCAGCAACCTGGCTGCTCTATTTTGCACATCTGAAGTATCCGGACTGTCTTCAAGGGCAGCCCCACGTAGAGTGAGTTACAGAAATCCAGCCGGGAAGTAACCAATGCATGTGTCACTGTCACAAGGCAATAGTCCTCCAGGTAAGGATGCAGCTGATGGATCAACCAAAGCTGAAGGAAAGCGCTCCTCGCCACTGCAGTCACCTGAGCCTCCAGGGACAGCTCTGGGTCGAGGAGCACTCCCAAGCTGCGGACCCTGGCCTTCAGAGGGAGTGCAACCCCATTCAGGGCAAGGTCCAAGTCAGAAACCTCTATAGTCAGGTCACAGGGGTCCAGTTCTTGCTGGCAGAGTTAATGGTTCTAGAACTGGTAGCAACCACAGTTTCATAGGACCATCTGGTTTTTTCATGATGGCAACATCCCTCTTTGGGAAGGGTCCACTATTGCAAAGGAGATGTCACTGCCTTAGTTTTGGCTGGTGCCAGATATTGGAGAGCTTTTGTTATTTTTTTTAAAAAAAATCTGTGAATGTGGTCATTGACTTTGGTAATAGAAGCAGAGAACCAGTAAGGGAATCAGTCCAGAAATGATGTATAGTCAGCGTCTCATTCCGTGATAAACCCCGTGTTGGAGGGGAAGTAATGAAAGGAAGTAATGTGTGTTTTCCATGCAGTGGTGTCAGTTTGCAGGAGATTTTTGGCTCAGAGTCTGAGGTGCGACAGCATTAGCTTTCCTCTCCCTTTCCTCTCCATGATTCACCAACACCTCTCTTATATGAAGCAGTTGCATTGTTTGTGTCAGCCACTGCACATATTGAAATTAGGAAACACTGGGAGCTCATAAATGCAGTGGATAGTGTAGAATCTGGCACTCAGCACTGGTGACCCAGCTTAGCATAGCAGGCTTGTTCATGGACTAGTGAAGCAAGATCAGTTTATGGACATATAAACCATATAAATATGGTTCTCACACCTGCCCTATATAATAGTAAAGAGACAAATGGACGTCAGCTTTCAGAGTCACAAACATTGTTTGGCATGCTTGTTCACTTACCTGAACAAACTCAGTACTCGTTGCTTTTCAAATTCACAAATTCTGTAATCCCCGCTGAACAGAGTCAACATCCAGCGGCTTGTGTTTTGCTAATTGTAACCCATGCTGTTTTGTTTTGTCTTTTGTAGTATTAAAATGATTTTTTAAGTAATGCAAGTAGAGAAGAGAGAGTGAGTGGTCATGTTATTGCTACCATTTCTGTGACAAATAAGGGCTTTGAGATAAAATCAGTTCCTTTAAAAATGTGAAAGGGGTTACAGTCTCTCTAAAGTCACTTAACCTGTTGCATTGTGCAACTAGGATTCCACCCAAATGATATTTCATACAATCAGTCTCTCACACACCTTCTCACACACTCACTCGTGTACACACCACCACTGTTCCTCCATCTTAGAGTTTCCCTCCCAGATAGTACAATGTCTCCGCTTAAAATGCACAAAGAGAGAATTGGCATGATCTTCAAAATACGTTTAAGCCCTGTGAAGCAGTAACATCAAGATCAAGTTCAGAAGTGGACCATTTCCCCCAGTAATTCTTCCCCCAAATACCATATTCCCTATTGCCTGGCTACGGGCTCCACTGTGTTCCCCATTGCCCGCACCTGGAAGAGACTGCTTACTTACCACCAATTTCTTTTCATTCATAGAATGATTACAAAAAACTGTCAATGCAGTGCAAAGACTTTGTGGTTGGACTTCTCGATTTGTGCAGAAACACAGAAGAAGTGGAAGCTATTCTGAACGGAGACGTTGAGCTGAACCATGGAGAGCACGGACGTCCAAGCCTCAGCCGCTTAAAGCTCGCCATAAAGTATGAAGTCAAAAAAGTAAGTTCTGGTTTTATTGAAGATGCCTCCATCAAACCTTTTCCATGTGTTCCTTACTGTCATTTTAGATAGTTTAAGTTCCATGTACTTAAGTACCATGTACTACAGCCCTTGCCCCTAAGTTCCAGCCGGCCAAGATACATCTTAATGGAGCTTAGCTTGCATAGGCATTTTACATGAATGCATTCTGCAGTACATAGACACAATGGAACTGGTCCTGCCCAATTGCCATGGCTTCCCTTATTGTAAACACGTTGAAATGTACCTCCAAAAATAAATGTGAATCATCTAGCATGTTTTCTCTGCATCTAGCAAAGCTCTACAGCTAGAGATAATGGGAACTGTGACTCAACACATCTGTTGGGCAGGGGTTTTGGGAATCCCTGTATTAAGGGAATATTAAGGAGGAAAAGAAAACTGCTTCACACAGTAAAAACAATGCTGTATAGTACAAGGATTATATTAAGTATATAATTAGTAATTTTGTTCAGCAGTGGGAGTATGATTAAGCTTCCAAAGCAGGACAAAACATTGGTTATGTATCAAAGAGGGCTAACCTAATTCACCAGAAGATAAAAATGATTTGATGGATTTATTATATTTCAATAACCTTCATGTCAGAATGGATTTGCTCCTCTGTTTTTCTGTGCTGCATAAATCTTCAAACGCGTATTTAAATCTATATAGTATTCCAAAATTAGTATAGACCCTTGAACAGGAAATAGATTTTAAAAATGGACTAGGAGGTCATAGATGAGCTTCAGGTCCACTTCTGCAGTGTACTGATTATGCGGAAAGTCATTTAATGTCATCCTCAGTTCTACACCAGGAAAAGCGGGTTGTCACAGGGACTGCAATGTTTAGGAATAAGAAAGCTGTCATATGAAATAGTTATAGTTACAAAATATAGACTGTACTTAAGCTGCTATATCAACAATAAACCCTAGCAATTCTGGAGTCCATAATGCTGTAAAAATATAATCAGTACAAACTCTAAGCCAACATGGTAGTTAGAGGAGAAACAGAAAATCTCTAGATTTTTTGGAACACAACTCCCATCAGTCTTAGTCAGTGCAGAGGATAGTGAGGAATAATGGGTGTTATAGACCCAAATATCTTCCCACTCCAACACACACCCTTTAGAGTGTCCATGAAATGCCTGCTATAGGTATCCCATTTAAGTGTCTCATCAGAAGCAGAAGGTGGCAACTGTCAGTGGCTACTAGCCATGTCCTTCCTCCTTTAATACAGGCAACATGCCTGCATATATCAGTGGCTGAGGAGCTTGGGCAGGAGGAGGTCCACTCATCCCACCCATCCCACTTGAGAGATCCTGTGGGAAGCTGGTTTGCTACCATGTCTACAGAATTCTGGACCAGAGGGACTATTGGTCTGATCCAGCATGGCTTTTCTTACGTTCTTGAGAAGTCAGCTACATTGAACTGAATGGGATTTACTCCCTGGTTAGTTTGCTTAAAATTGCAACCCAAATGTGGTGATTCAGATCTTACTTTTGCAAAGGCAGAGAAGCTTTTCCGTCAGATGCTGCCATCTGATAAACTGAAACGCTGCTGCTGTGATGCCTGGCAAGATCCATCTTTCCTGCCATGCCTGAATGTGCCGTGCAAAGCAAGATCTACCATTTTCTTAACCCAACCCAGCAGTTTGATGTTCCTCTTTGTAGCAGAAACCTTCTGGAAAAACTTAATAGAGGAACAGTCTGTTAAAGAATGAAAGGGCTGAGTACTAAAGCCAGCACACCTTCCAGATAAGTGATCAAAATTCCCAGCCTTAGGTATCCATACCTTGCTCACAGACTTTCCCCCCTTCAGGTTGTGTGGCTGCTCTTCCTTTCTGGTAGTTGGTAGCTGGATTGCTCCTGCTTTACTGTTTTCTTTAGCAAACCAAATATTGAAGTGAGGGATGGATTAGCAGTAATGTTCTCTTGTGTTCCCTTTTCTTTTTCTTGTTTAGTTTGTAGCACATCCCAACTGCCAGCAACAGCTCCTCTCTATCTGGTATGAGAATCTGTCAGGTTTAAGGCAGCAGACCATGGCGGTGAAGTTTCTGGTGGTTCTTGCCGTTGCTGTTGGGTTGCCATTCCTGGCGGTGGCCTACTGGATTGCTCCATGCAGTAAGGTATTTGTTGATGCAAGGCTGTCGCAGCCTCCTTAACGTGCTCTGCACTCCATTTGCATGCAGGGCTGAAACCGGGCTAAAATGAAGCAAGTGAGAGAGGCACTTAGCTGTGCTTTTGCGGCAAAGTTATGTATTTTAATGAAGTGACTACAGAGCTCACTGCCCAATGGCTTTGGTAAAAAACAACAGACGCTCTATACTAAAATACCTTTTTTTCATTGGTGATGGTGGTGCAGAACAAGGTGGTGGGAAAGGACGGAAAGACAACTCATTTAGTTTTGTCTGTGTGCTGTATATAGCTATATATAAATATAATGGTTTATAGTTAATGGTTTACTATTAGTTCAAACCACAACCCTGCATTTAATGGCATTAGACAGCTCAAAGGCGTAAACTTGTTCCAGCATGACAAATTCGCTGAGGTTCTGGAATGTCAACAGTTATGACAACAGCATCGCAAAACATGATGTTCTGTTGGTGTCACTTGAGCACAGCAGGAAAATTCACCAGTGCAAATGTTTACATCATGATGCAGTTTCCTTTAAAGTAAATTTCCAGGAAAGTAAGTCTGATCAGGAAGAATATCAAGAGCCTTGCTATTCTTGGGGCATATTAAACCCTAACTGCTTTTTGCTGTGTTTGTAAGCAAAGGTGTACTTCCAATGATTAATCTGCTTCAGATGCTGTAAGCATTTCTGTGTGAAAGCATATGGCACAGTCAGTAAGCTGGAGCAAAGTGCTGGGTGAGCTTGGCATCAAAGACCCAGCTTGAACCCCTTGCATGCCCAGGTAGCGCTGGGCAAACTCCATTCTGAAAGTCCGAAGAAGAGCCGCTTGCCAGTGCAGACATTCCGAGCAAAAGCAAACTACAGTCTAATATGTTTTAAGGCCATTTCCTGTGTTGCTCTTAAGGATCCATGACACATTGCCCTTTCCCTTCCCACGCTGATGACCTGCGGTATAAGCAGAGACTTCCGCATGAATGTGTGAAAGTACCGAAAATGTTATCCCATGGTCTTCCTCTGCTTTTGGAGAAACCAGAGGCTGTCTGAGAGGTGAAGAACCCAGACTTCCTAGTTTCCCATTTCACCTCTAGTTGCTCGTGGGGACTCAGGCTTTGTCTTTTGAAATCCAAACATACCATTTTGGAATGAACCATAGATTATGTCCATTGCTACGTGTGTTCAATTTCTAAAGCTCCTATGTGTCTTCTTCCAGATTGCTCAGGTCCTGCTTCTTTCTGTGCCCAGTCTTGAAGTCTGTGAGCACTGAGATCTGGAATATTTATTTATTTATTTATTTATTAAAACAGTTCTATGCCGCCCCATTCTCCTCGGGGCGGCTCACAACATAAATAAAATACAAAAATAACTATATAAAAATAACAATATAAAATAAATAGCAATATAAAAGAAGTCACCCTGGTGCTTTGGATGATTCTCTCCAAGCATAATCCCTGCTCTTCCCACTGCTCATTTTCAAAGCTTAATTCCTTTCTTCCCTGCTTCGATGATGCAATGGATTGTTGAGAAGACCAGGTCAGCAAGCTATGACGTGAGCACACCTGCCAAACTAGATTGCAAAGCGTGGCATCTGCGATATTGACTATGGGCATGCAGAAAGGAGGCAACAGAATGGAGCTTCCTCAAAATGCAGTTTTCTGGTTTGGCTATTGTAGCAAACTGAACTTGGTTCAAAGAAGAAGCAAGGAATTAAGCCCTCTGGGAGTGAGGCTGAGGGAAGGGGAGAAGAAAGGAGGAGCACATGCACCCAGCATGACCTTGCAATCCTCCAAACCATTGTTCATTTCAGTGCAATAAATGATTACATCTTTAGGCACTCTTGTTTTAAAGAAATATGCTGGATCAGATTAAAGGCCAGGGAAGTCCAGCATTATGTTCCCTCAATGTACAGCCAGCTGCCCCTGGGAATTGCACAAGCAGGACATGAGTAGCAACTGGGATTGAGAGACGTTCTACCCGATACTGCAGAGGGAGGACAGGGCTATCTAGGACAGAGCATCCTGGAGGATTCACACACAGGGCTGCCTCAGTCGGAGACCACTTGTTGGCACATAACATCAACATCATGGCTGATTGCCACCGATAACCTTCTCCTCCATGATATTATCTAATCCCATTTTAAAGCCATCTGGGTTGACAGCCATCCCTACATGATGTGGCAGCAAATTCCACAGTTTAGGTGTCTGTGGGGTGAAAGACTTGTTTTTCCTGTTCTGACTCTCCCTCATATAGCTTCCTTGGATGACTCCAGATTCTATTATTGAGAGATACGTAATTTTATACACTTGTGTCATGTCCTTCCTGTTACCCTTTGGGATTACCAAACCAAGAAGACTTAGCTGTGGTTAGCAGTTCCCAAACCTCCTTACTCAGAAACCTTTAAGCCCTGAATCACCTCCCTCCTTGTGTAGCCTTTATATACTGCTACATCTCTTAAATACATGGATCAGAAGAGGCATATAAAGCAAAGCCATCCTCTCACATGTTTATGTGTGTGTGGGAATACTTTTCAAGCCATTCCTAAATGTATATTCCCAGCTGCTCAGATTTAGGGCTGGTGAGAGGGAGAAAAGGTGGAGGGTGTGTGGACTGGAATCTGTGTGTCTCCAGAGCACGCATTCCTCCCCACTGCTCCTCAGCAGGCCCCTCCTTCCTCCCTCTTAGATCTAGTTGTGACCTGGGGTGGGGGAGTGGTGAAGGGACTTGGTCCGGGGTCTAAAGTAAGAGGACCTCCATGCTCAGACTCCCCCTAGAAATCCTATGATTTCCCAGATGATGTCGGAAGGCCATAGGATTGCACTCTAAATGCACATAGACATCAAACTGCCTTAGAACTCTTTTTGTTTAAAATTAGTATACTTCATTGTCCAGCTGGTCTGCTAACAACTCCGTTTCCTTAGCTACTTCTGCTTCATTCCATAGCTGTCTTCTCTCCCACCTCATCATCCATTGTGAGCACAGGCAGCTAATCATTTTGAAAGTACAGTGCCAAGTATTTTGTTTATCATTTGTAGACTGAATTTTAATTACAGATATCTTAGCCACCCCCTTGGAAGCTTAAAAAGGAGTTTGTTGGTATCAACAAGATTTATTGTGAAGAGCGATCATTACACATGTGAGAAGGCTGATGCCTTTATTTATTATCTTAAGAATGATAAAACCATTTTAGGCCATCACTCTAAACAAACACACCAGGGAATACGTTCCATGGAATTCAGCAGCACTTACTTTTGTGTAAATGTATTTAGTATTGCATTATTTATCTAGCTGGAGGATTAAGGGAACAAAATTTTAAAAATTTGCTAAAGGATTTATTAGAGATAGGTTTGCCCAGCATTTAGGTTTACCAGTCTTTATTAATATTAGCTTCAGCCATGTTTACTGTTTCATAAACAATTTCTTTCTGTTTTGAAAAAATAACGTACTCCTTTGACTTCTTCTTCTTTCCTAGGAGATTGGGCCCTTAACAGTGCTCTTTACATAGTAACTAAAAATAGATGTTAAAAGTAAAGACTTTAGAAATTTACAAAAAGTGTGGATTTTAACATCATATTTCATGAAACATTTAACATTTTATTTTTATTCCACTGTTCCCGACTTCAGGTCTTTAGTACTGGAGGAAAAAACAAAAACAAAACCTAACTGAGGAATTTGGCCGGTTGTAGCCCTACCCTCCCTGTGGATCCTGTGTGGGCAGAACCCTGGGCTAGATGGACCTTTGGTGTGGTCCAGCAGGCCTCTTCATCTGTTCTTAACAATAAAATGCACTGACTGGCAATGAATAACTGACTGGAAAAAGAGAATGTCTCCTTTTTATCTTTAATAGCATCCAAGAGAGGCCTGGGAGAAGGTGATGAGAGAGAGAGAGAGAGGGAAGGTCTGGGGCACGACTCAGGCTGGCATGCCAGGGCTAGGGTGCAGGTGTAAGCTGGAGTCCTGCAACAGCTTCAGTGGGCCAGAAGCAAGAGACCCATCAGGGTCAAACCAGGGAAATGATAAATCCAAATAAGCACAGTTTACTATATCACAGTCCAAGGGCACAGCCCAAGAGCACAGTTGAAAGCTCTTGATAGTCAGATTCAAGGGCAAGGTGAGGTCAGGGAGGATGGGTGCCCTTTACATAAATGCTGAGGGCCAAACACTGAGCTGAAATTGGTCATCTAAGTGTTTTGAAGAGCAGAAGTGTAGAAATGACTTTTGCCACCACATTCCTGCTCTTCACCAGATGTGATTCCCTGTGATTCCCCAAGTTCAGGGACTTCAGGATAGCCACAGCGGATTGCACAGCTAACTTACAATTCTGCAGGTGCGATATCAGCATCAATTTAATATTGACACTTGCTTCCTGGTGCCATGAGTGCAACCCGTTGCATCCATTATTGGCTTGGCACTTCTCTTTCCCATCTGGGAAACCTCAAAGATTAGACAGGTTTGATTTCTGGTGCACTGAGAGGTCAAGCAAGGCAAATATTGACGACTTGTCCACTCTTGCACACAGGCGCACCGATTTTAATGAATCTTGCAGTGGAGGGAAAGGCTCTCCTCCCTTGTAGTCTGCGAATACAATGACCAGTGTCAGCATGCTCAGCTGCAAGACACACCGTTGCTTCAGGCACTGCAGTCGCTCCTTCACTGCTTCCTTCTGCTCCTTCTGCAGTCTAGCGATCCACTTCCACATATGCAGTTGAGGCTCAGTCCCTGCCTCTGCACAATGCGTAGGATCGTCCATAATTAGCCACAGGCCCCTCGCGTACAAGCAGACTCTCAATAGCATTTGATATATTTGAGATAAGAAAGCAGAAGGCATGTCAACAGTGCATCTCCTCTCCTTATCTACTACCCAGGATGTTATCTCTGCAACAGCAGTATTCACTACGGTAGAACTGACTGCCATCTATGCATTTTCTTAAATGTTGCATCTGAACACATAAGAAGATGCATCTCTTCCATTGATACATTTCCTAATAGGATACTGCCCCTGGGATCTTGTGATAAATACTAGAACCAGTGTACAAGGTTACTCATCCACTGCTCTGGAGCATTTCCTGTCAGTGTTAGCCACTGTAAACAATGTTTAATCATTGATGGCAGTGAATTTCTGAATAACTTTCCATTAAAATAATGGAGGAATGTACAACATTATGAATACAAGTACTCTTTGGTATTTTAAGTAAAGCTTAATAAACAAAGAAAGTAGACTAGAAAAACAGCCAAAGTTAAACATAGTTTGCTCCTACATTGAATGAAATAGGATTTTTGCCCTTGAAGGAAGTCTAAAAAATTTTTAAATAAATTAATAGCCCATGTTCTACTGACACTTAAGCCCAACTTGGTAGAATGGACTGATTGCACTCTGGATGAAAAGTGTGGGGATGGATTTCAGCTGAGACTAGGGCTGCTTTCAGGCAACTCTTCTACCATCCAAAAGGCATAGTGCAGCTATTCCGTATTTTCCTGCTTAGCAGGTTTTCTGTGAAAAGGAAAAAAAGTAGTAGGAAAACAAGCAGGACATACCTGTGGATCTGCCCCCCCACATGTACACTGCACAAAGAAGAGCCTCACTGGGAAGCACTTTCTGTACATTATATTACTGCAGTCTGAAATTCATCTTGCTCATGAGGTGGGATATCTAGGTTTCTTCATAGGTATCCTGTGTTCACACCTCAGTGCAACCCATAGTTTAGATGTTCAAAGCATCTTGGGATCATGCTTTTATTTTAGTAATGAATCAGAATCCCAGGACTCAATATTCATCAGGAATGTGCATTTGAAATTGCAATGTTTCATATCAGTAGTTTTGCTCATCCAGAAAACTCCTTTCTTCACTGCATTGGACCAGAGAGTTGGAAGTGGTCCTCTAGGCCATTAGATCCATGGATCATTTCTTTGTCTTTGCCTCTGCTTGGCCCTGCTTTTGTCCTGTGTATCCATCTGTGTTTAAAAGCATCCCTGTACAGCCAAGAAATAACATGACTGCTGACTAAACACTGGGGACATGTCTGGTGCCCCCCCACACCATGTAAACCTGGAAAACAGAGCTGAGGAAAACGGTTGTCCCAGTAAGCAGGCCATTCCTTCAGAGGTGGCACGGTGAGCTTGGTCCCTTATTCTGTTCCAGAGACAGACAGGCCGGAGAAGTTAGTCCTCCATGTGGGCCATTGACTGGTCTGACTCTCTCCCCCACCGCCCCCATGTTTCCTCACCCTCTTCTTGAAGGTGACAACAGCCATCGTTATGCTTCCAGGCTATAGCCAGACACAGAGCTTCCACTTTCCAGTCCCTTGCACTATTGCAGTCCTTAAGTACCTGGGTGGTTGGAGCAACACAGAGCTGATACACAGAGACAGATAACAGCAAAGTGCACCTAAAGATTGCATCAGATGATCATTTTACACATTGTTTTCCCCTCTTGCATTCTCAGTGTATCTGACCATTCAATTTGCTAGCTTAACATAAAACTGCCTTGACAGATAATGCTATTTTTATTTATTTTTCTTCTCTAACCTGTTTTTTTTTCAGTTGGGTAAAATACTGCGTGGACCCTTTATGAAATTCGTGGCACATGCTGCTTCTTTCACCATTTTTCTTGGGCTTCTGGTTATGAATGCAGCAGACAGATTTGATGGCACCAAGCTGAAGCCTAATGAAACCAAAACAGATGGTGCGAAACAGCTGTTCAGGATGAAAACATCGTGCTTCTCCTGGATGGAGTTGCTTATTATCTCATGGGTAATAGGTAAAAACCATTTCTCAAAATTCTATCTTGCCTTCATAGCAGTGAACTGCATTTCTTTAGCTCTGCCCCTCCAATAATGAAAAGTATAAGATATAAATGGAAGCATCTTCCATGCTTCACATTTGCTTCTCTGAATCTCATATGAAAGCTGGGCCTGCAAAATGCCACAGGGCACCTTTCTTCCTTTTTCTTTTTGCTCTTCTGTGGTTCCCCGCACATACAGTTGTGTATTAAGGTAGCAAAGCAGGTACATTGGAAATGCTTATTCAGAATGCACTGATTATATCAGATGATCTACTGTTCATAGAAGTAAGCATTTTCTGAATTGGAATTGTTAGGTCTGTGCCTGTTCACTGGATTTCAAAACTGGGGCCACTGTCTTCAAAACACGATATACAATTCAGCCCCTTTGACAGCCATATCTTAAGCCACTCGGTAGCTTGCCAGTGACATGTTGTCATTAATTCATATGTAATTTACATTTCAGAAGCCTAGAAAGAAGGCTTCATGATCCAATGTGTAAATGTATTACCCTTGATATTGATATGAAAGGTCATACGCCATCTTTTTTCTTAGTTTTAGTAAAGAAAAAAGATGAAAAGTTATTTTGAAATTATCTAAGACTTGGAGATTAGTCTGTAGAATGAACAACATACAACAACTGAAATCAAAGGCCTGTCTTTCCCAGCTGCGTTATTCAAATAAGAATTAGCTCTCCTAAGGTCAAGCTTTAAAAAGAAGGTGTCTTTTATAGGCAGGGTAAGTGATGGCAGGGCTCGCAGGATTTCGGAAGGAGAAGCCTCAGTAGCTTCTTCCCTCCCTCCCTAAGTTCTGCCTCATTTCTGCAGTCACCTCTGCTGCATGTGTGTCATCGTAACCTGGTGAGGGTGAGCATGGAGGTGATTTCTAAAACACCGCAGAACCCAAGAGTAAGACATGGATTGCAAGATGGTTTCAGTGTTGCCTCCAGCTCTCCTCTCCTTGGGTTGAGCTGGGGTGCAGGTAATTATGAACACGAGGCAGCCTGCAGCTGGTGCACACATGGTGGGAGAGAAGAGAGAAGCCTCCAGGACTTCCTCTTCTTCCTTCAATTTGCGAGCCCCTGTAAAGCCAATGAGCATATTGCGCTATTGTCAGCGAGCACTGGAGGCTATTATTATGCAACAGCAGAGAAATTCATCTTAGTAGGAGATAGGGTTCCAGTTAATTAAGTCTTGCACTTTAGAGGCTAATACACATGTAATAAAAATAAATGAAAGAAGAACTGTGACAGACATAAAGGAAATAGTAGGTTCTCCCCTGACTCTGTTTGCATGCATGGTTAAGGAAAATGCGACTGTGTTATCATGGTTAAGAGTGCAGCTCCGGAACTCAGGCGAACTGGTTTCTAGTCATGGAGCCAACTGGGTGACTTTGGGCCAGTCACAGACTCTCAGCCCTACCCACCTCACAGGGTTGTTGTTGTAGGGATCAGACTGAGAGCAGCAGGAGAATTATGAAAGCTGCCTTATGCTTCTTGGAAGGAAAAAAGGTGGGGTATAAATACATAAAATAAATCAAAGCCATTACAAAAAATGCATTCATCTGGCATGCCAATTAAGGTTGAAATCCTATTCCCAATTACATGGAAACAAACCCTATTGCGCTCGATGGGAATAAATAGTGAGTAGAAATGTGTAGGATTGTACTGGAGACTCCAAAGGGAGGGTTGCCAGATATCAGCCGGGAAATCTGCTGTGTTTCTCCTTTTCACAGTCCAGGAGAAGACGAAGCTGCTGTGCCCCTGTCACATCCATTCCTTCCTTGGTTCAGGGCTAGGGTGGCCCAACAGTAAATCAATTGTTATTTGTTTCTTTGAAATATTTTTAACCTTCCTTTCAGGGCTTTCTGCCCTCAGAGTATTACAAAAGCATGACCAGGGGGTTACAATTAAATACATACAGCCAAGGCTAATGATTTGTAAGCACCAAAACCCATCTGGAATAAATAGACTGTATCCAAAGTTAGAGTAGACCAGCTGAAATAAATGCGACTCAGACTAGCACTGGACAGCATCCTTTATTTGTTTATTTAAAATTTTCTAGACCGTCCCTTACCGTGATCTCAGGACAGTTTAACAATAAGAGAATATAAAATAAAGCACAGCATCCTAATAACATTTCCAAACAGCATACATTCCAATGTGTCTTTAGGACTTTTTTTTACAGGCTGCAGTCTTGAAATCGCATGCATCTCCTTGGGGATAGGGAGATCCAAAGGTGTGGGGCCATCACTGAGAAAGCCCTGTCTTTAGCAGCCATCGACCTAGCATCTCTTGCTAGTTGGCCAGATAATAGGGTCCCGTAACTTAATACTGTAGGCAAGCTCATCAATGTAGGCAGGTAACATAGTCTCAAGCAATTTAGTGTTTTAAATCTAAAGCCATTAGCTTCAATTTGGTCCAGAAAGCCAATGTAAAGCATGCAGAGCCAGAGGAAGGAGATCAGACTGCCCAGCTCCCATAAATGTACTGGCTGCTACATCCTGAACATACTGCAGTTTCCCAATTGTCCTCAAGTACAACTCCATATGGAGCATGTATTCTATTCAAAGGAGAGTTCAGTTGTTCTGCAAAGACACCATTTAGGAATGTTACAGAAAGTTCAGAAGAGCAGAAACATGCTGCACAGCTTGGCTTTCCCATTCTGACTCTCTTTTCCACCACAGTTTCACACTCCAGAGCTCCTCTGTTGTTCCCAGGTCAGTGGCCAGATTCCAGGGAATGGGCTGCCCCTCTCTGTTTTATCAGTTAGTCTGGAGAGCTACTGCAGTCTGTTGATCCGATCAGCTGGACAGGGGAGTCAAACCCGGGCAATCGTAGGGGTCGTGTTCTCTCCTCCCCAGGGTCCTTGGTGGCCTCTATGGCTTCTGGATATAACAGGATGGCTGGCAAAAAGGGCCATGAATGGTGGATGTGAAGATGCAATGGCTGCCTCACTTTTGGTGACACTAGGAATGCAAAGGCAAAGTGGCAACCTCTGACTGTAATCTGGAAGCCCTTCTCATGGGCCAAATCCTCCTTGCCTCTTCTGTGATGTAATAAAATAGAATTAGGTCAACATAAGCTTTCACGTTGACCTCATGTGTGACCTCTTCTTCCTTACTTTAGGTATGATATGGTCTGAATGCAAAGAAATTTGGTCTCAAGGTCCCAAGGAATACCTGTTCGAGTTGTGGAATATGCTAGATTTTGGTATGTTAGCTATTTTTGCAGCTTCGTTCATTGCAAGGTTTATGGCATTTTGGCACGCTTCCAGAGCCCAAAACATAGTGGATGCCACAGTGAATATGGACATGTCTCCTGAGACACTGGATCCCAGCATAAAGTACTACACTTTGGGTGAGTATGAACAGTTAACAGTCATGTTGCAGAGCTAAAGAGAACTGTTAGGTCTAGTTTAGTTGGTTTCAGAAAGCACGGTTACATAAATGAAATCCGAAATCATATTGTTTTCTATATCTGTATTCCACATGGAATTCTGGATCAGTTATGCTAAAATTCATGTGGACTAAAATCTGATACAACAAGAGCTTGCAACTGTCTCCATCTTCCTGATGTTATTTGCATGTGGCTGAACTTTTTAGTTTTTCCACTCTGCTTTTTATAAAAGGTTTGAAGTGTATTTGTGGTATAGTTTAGTCTTCTCCCAGTGTGCTGTCCTCAGATGTCTCAGATTATAACTCCTGCAGTGTCTGACCATTCACCATGCTAACTGTGGCTGATGAACATTGCAGTCCCAAACATCTGGAAGGCACATAGTTGGGCGAAGTTTGTCCAGTTCCATGAAAATGAAAACATTTTTACTAGCCTACCAGTGATAATGAAAAAAGCTGTTTTACACGATCTTTGGATGATGATTTTCCCTCTGTGAGATCACTACTGGGCTTAATAACCACCAGAGCACTTTCAGTTTAAGGCTAAATAGCTGGTGCTGTGGTAACTCTTGGGGCAGAACACAAGCCTGGGCTAGCAAGGAGTGAGGAATCCGATTGCAGGGTTGAAATCTTTTGGAATTTCTCAGCTCAGTTCCTCAGCCTGCAGCCTGCATTGCCTCTGCCCTCAGTCTGCCTTGCACTAAGCGTTTGTATGGCTGTCTGGAAGGAAGTGAATCCAACAATTCCACAGTTAAAATTAGCAAGGGCAGGTTGCACACATGCCGTCCACTTCCATGCACATGACTTGTAGGCACTGTTGGTTTTGCACAAGAATTCCGTGTAAAGAAGAGACCCACTGGTGTTTTTGAGTATTTGGGGATTTGATCTCCCCAGGCTAGGGCTGAAAAGAAGCATGGCAAGCCCCATGGGTTGGCTGTCCAGGAGAAGTTAGGTAGAGGTGGAATTCCCACTCTGCTGCCACTGAGAGTTTCTCTTCTAGGAGGGTTCCTCCAAAGGTCCCATTTAGGCCCAGAAAAAGTTCCACTCAGCTCTTAACCAATTCCAGAAAATAAGAAGCTGTCTCTTAAAGCAGCGTCAGAAGTTGCAGTTCTAGCAATAACTAGGTAGCAATGTTTGTTATTTGCTCCAGTAATGATAGGGACCAGATGGATGTGCCTCTGCTCCAGATGAATCCCCTCCTTTGTTCCCATACACAGTAGAGTTGATGGAGAGGGTGCCGAAGTAAGGCCTCTGGGGCTGACCTTAGTATTTGTGCAGGTAAATATGGAACTTGTGTCTCAAGCCAGTGTGGTGTTGTGGTTAAGAGCATGGGACTGGGACTCAGAGGATCTGGGTTCGAGTCCCCGCTCGGCCATGGAGCCAACTGGGTGACTTTGGGCCAGTCACAGACTCTCAGCCCAACCTATCTCACGGGGTTGTTGTTGTGGGGATAAGATGGAGGAGGAGAGATGATGTAAGCCACCGTGAACCCTTTATAGGAAAAAGGCAGGACATAAATCGCAATATAAATAAATAAAATAAATAAACCATTAAATGGAAACGCTTGTCTTTTTCTTTATAGCAAGAATAGACTGGGATCCATCTGACCCCCAAATTATATCCGAAGGCTTGTATGCAATTGCTGTGGTTCTAAGTTTCTCAAGGATCGCCTACATCCTGCCAGCCAATGAAAGCTTTGGACCACTACAAATATCACTTGGCAGAACTGTGAAAGACATATTCAAGTTCATGGTCATATTTATCATGGTTTTTGTGGCCTTCATGATTGGGATGTTTAATCTCTACTCCTACTACCTGGGAGCAAAACAGAATGAAGCATTCACTACGTAAGTTAATATGGCTGAAATCTGCACATTATTTTATTGGAAAGCACTCAGCTGGATCAAGCCCAATAGCTCTTATAGTGTACTTAATATGAGCAGATCATCTGCCATAATCTGGAATTCTTCAGTACTGATTTTCCAACAATGTTACCTAAACTAGCAGTACTGATGCAGTCAAATATCAAGCAAATATACTGTAAAGTAGTTCTAGAGCACCTTTCCTCAGCTTGGTGCTGTCCAGATTTTTTTGGACTAGCATTCCAGCCCTGGAGAATGTTGAATTGGGTACATGAGGGTTGAAGTCCAAAATGTCTGGAGAGCACCAGGCTGAGGAATGTTTGTCTAGAGGTATTTCTTCATAAATAGATACCCAGATGAATCATGCTTATAATCTCAGTGCTCATAACCCATGTCAAACATTTAGGATGTGTAGCCTCTCTGAATGTCACTTGCCTAGATGGGTTAACAGGATCAGTACAGGATGCAGAGTTGCCATTGCATACAAATAATTATGTTAGTTCTAGCCTGTCAAAACTGGAGGCAATATTTGGAAACACCTTTATGGTGCCATCCGTTCATCACTCTTTGTATTCTTGACGTTGCAAAAATGTGGGGTTTATCCCTAATAAACAGGTATGCTAGGACAGAGTCCACTTGTCCTGGGGATTGGTAGCCACTCAGGGATTGTCACATCAGCAGAGTGTGAGTAACACAACACAACACCCTCACGGCTAAGTGAAACCTCTATTGGTCCACTTGCTGATTTGCCTAGTGCCTGCAGGGCAAGCAGTGCTGACAGCCACCCAAGGTGGCCAAATGACGCTTGGAGCAGCTGTCAGAAGCTATCCTCCCACTCTGCACCACCATCCTTGGAGCAGGGGTGATGCAAGGCGGGGGAGCTGCGGTCAAGTTGCAGGGCAGTGGAGATGATCGATGCTGCCCCACTTCCATGGCATCCGTATCCCAAATGGAATGCAGGAATCTGCCAAACGTTCAGGCCCTGCGAAGCACTCCTTCGTATGTACTGGACAGTTCCAGGGATATCTTTTCCTCTATATTATATGAAGCTGGCAATCTGCTTGCAAGAAGCTTTTCATATCCCACCTGTTGTTCTGTTACTGGGTTCTTGCCTTAAGGGGACAATGATCTGCAGTAATGAACAGGTAATGTAAGGCCCCAGTGCTAGAGTGTCACACATTTTCGTTGCCAAGCGAATGGTCATTTCATTTCATTTACTGCATTTCCAAACCACTCCATAGCCGAAACTCTCTGGATGGTGTACAGCAGTGCATAAAACGAAACAATAACATACAAATAATAAAAAGCATCAACATATACTCCAAATAGCTAACAATACAATAAAACTGACCTGTAAAAGGAAAACTCAAGCCACCTGGGATGAGTAAACCCCTCAAACCCCTGGGCAGCTCAGTACATCTCTAAAAGCTTCAGCAAAAAGGGCTGTATTAACCTACACCAAAAAGATGGCAAATTGGATGCTCGGCAGGCCTCAGTGGGGAGATTTTCCATAGATTGCAGGTGGGGAGGACGTGTTTCCATGTTTCAGGTCTTGCCTCCCTTTTCACGGCATGGATTGTCCCTTGCCCATACCCGGATGAGGTGCGCAGTTAGGGTGCTCACGTGAGTTGTGGCTCTCTTCCCCTGCCCGAGTCAAGATAAAAGGGGAAGGAGGAATAGAGAGGAATCAGGCACTTTATTTAATAGCAACCTTTATACACTACCTGATCTTCTAAAAGCATCAACAATATAAAACAGTGGCTGTGTGCTACCTCCTTTGTCCAAGGTGCCATGTCTGCATGCAGCAGTTGCTGAGAAGTTGGACAGGTGAGGTCTTGCACCTGTCCCGCTTGAGGGATCCTGCAGGCAGCCTGTTTGCCACCATGTGAAAAGAGTGCTGGACAGGACGGACCTTTGGTCTGATCCAGCATGGCTTTTCTGATGTCCTTATGTTCTAACAATAAACAATAAAACCTTGCAACAATAAAAACAAGTACATTCAGCATAGTTTTTAAATACCTTAAAGGATTAAAAGCGACACAGTTTAAAAGACTAAATGGAAAAATGCACCCATTGGAAAATGCACTTCCTAAAGACTAACAAATTGCTGGATTAGGATCTTGAATAATTTTTGATGGAAGCACATTCTATATTTTGGAGGCAATGCAAGATAAAGCCTACAGCAACCTATATACAGTGGAAAAAGAAACTTATTCCAGTTGAAATCAGTTAGGAATCCATTCTTCCTAGGACTGAGCAGCTGCACGGTTTCTTCCAATTTCTCCATTTTATACACCACAAAAATCTGAAGATGCTTATTGCAGGTGGCAATCTGAAGATCTGCTCTTCCGGGTTCGAGCCGCTCTGTCCCACCCTTCCTGCCCAGTTTGGCTACAAGAGCAACGGCCATCCATAAACCAGTTTGGCTACAAGAGCACTTTGAGGCCAAGGGAAACAGTTCAGCCCAAACCAGGGCAGTATGGAAAGCTCCTGTTCACTGTTGTGAAAACAATATAGCTGCACCCAGGCAACGCTGTATTATACGATTGGCAACATTTCTAATCATATACCTTCCTTGGGAAATCTATTATTCCAGAATGTTACACATTTTCCCCAGGGGTTCCTATTCAAAAGCCACACTTGATCAGGTGCTTCTTGAACTTGCAAAATTGCTGACACTTTTAACGTTATCAGGACACACCAGATTCTTCTCCACAGTTAATCAAAAGATGCAGGTTACTGTTGACATATTCAGTGGATCTTTTATTAGAGTGCTTTGTTTATGCTTCTGGATATTTTTCTTTCAGAGTGGAAGAAAGCTTCAAGACTTTGTTCTGGGCAATATTTGGACTCTCAGAAGTAAAATCCGTTGTCATAAATTATAAGCACAAATTCATTGAAAACATTGGCTATGTCCTCTACGGCGTTTATAATGTCACCATGGTTATTGTTCTGTTGAACATGCTTATTGCAATGATCAATAGTTCTTTCCAAGAGATTGAGGTAAAACTCTGTCGAACTATCTTCTTTAGTCCCTGTTGTTGTCTGATCCATTTTTTTTACTGTTTCTCTTTGCTGTATCTAAATTGTGTTTTCGTCAATCAAAGAGAGTTTATAGTGAAATCCTGTACATGTTTAGTCAGATTTTAGTCTCAGTTTGTTCAGCAGGGCTTACTCTTATGGAGGCACACATAGCATTGCATCCTTGGATTGACAGCCAATCCTACTCTAACCATAATAAGGTTATGAGTCATACCACCTTCAGATTGCCTTCCAGGACAACATATCAAGGGCTCTCGGGCAGTTTCCCTTCCAGGCATGGATCAGAAATTGACTTGTCTAGATACAGCATATTTCTTCTCATGTTTGGTTGGTGTACTACTAATGGTCTTTAAGTGTTGGTTGCTTTGTCTGGATTATGCCCCTACCCTTTTTTCAGAGAATGTCACCTTGATGACAATATTATGTTACTCAAATTATTTGACCATGTGAGAACAATTAGTAACATGCCATTTTGTAACCTAGTGTTCACTGGTCTTTATTGGTAATAATAATAATAATAATAATAATAATAATAATAATAATAATAATAATACTTGCAATGCTGAGGACATCCCAAAAACTATGAAATACAGACCAGTACCAATATCTAGCCTTGGAACAACTTCTGCTCATATTGGACTACATAATCTTCTTCTGTGCCAACAGAAATTTACTTTGTTGTGAACTGCCCAGAGAGCTTCAGCTATGGGCAGTATAGAAATGTTATGCTATGCTATGCTATGCTATGCTATGCTATGCTATTACTATTTATCACATTTCTATGCTGCCCCTTAGCCAAAGGCTCTCTGGGTGGCTCCACAGCACTATATATAAATAACAATAACAAACAAACCATAAAACATGATATAATTAAAATACAAAATAAGTACAACCATATAAATAGGACCAGGAGGAAAATAAACACAATACAAGCAATAACAACCAATAAAACAATACAACAAGCAAACCAATAATCCAATCTAAAAATTGATACTAAATAAAAAGTCTTAATTCTGTCACTCAGCTTGTGATAGCTTTATCTGTGCTCTTAGCCACAGAGTGCATTTGAATCCTGGTACTGCTCTGTCCGCTCAGGTCAGATCTCATCTACATTCAGTTCTCAGTGCTACAATGTAAGAAGAAAGATACTGGCAAATGGGAGCAGATTCTGAGGAGGGAGTCTTGAGAGCAAGTCCAGTGAGGAGAGATTTAAAAATTGGATATATTTAGCCTGGAAAAGAGAGAATTAGGAGGCAGTGACTGGTTCACTCTGAATGACATGCGCCCTTTGCTTTCATGCCATGTGAGCCCACTTCCAAGCCAGTCTGGCATCCCATGGCTTGTTGCAGGGTTCAGGAGCCACCCTGGATGGCATCACAAGTCCTTGGGCAGGCAAGGAATCCTTGCTGCTCTTGCCAAGGGGCTGTCAGGCAAGTGCTGCTGAGAGACACCCCCAAGGCAGGTGCAGCTCTCCCCGCGGCAGCTGCCAGCCAGGAGGTCTGCTTGCGTGATGTGGTGAGAGATGCCAGTGGCTGCTGCTCCCTCAACTGCTGCAAATGGCAATGGGGAAGGCGGGGGGGGGGCTTGGTGCTCCCACAGGATCTCCTGGGATACCTGTGGGAGGACTGCATGGGGAGAAGGGGTGCATCCTCTCCCTGATGTGCCCTGTCGTCTGTTGGGGACAGGGGGGCTTACACGCTGGACTGCATAGCTCTCAACACCACCTGGCTTATTGTGTCGTGTGAACCCAATAAGCATGATCGCAATCTTCAACTATCTGAAACCTTGGCACTCAGTAGATGGAGTGAATTTGTGCTCTGCTGGTTCAGAGAGGAGGTCCCAAACCAATTTAGGGATTTGGAGTAAATATCAGGGGGAAACCTCCTGACCATATAAGCTATATGGAATGGGAACAAGCTGCATCAGATGTTGGTAGAGCCAAGTGGGATGGTCATCTTTTACGAGTGCTGTGGGTTGGTCTAGATGCCCTTTGAGCAACCTGCCATTTTTATGATTCTAAGACTCTACATATTGAAATGATCCCTGATGAACCGTCTCCTCTGCTTTTCAGGATGATGCTGATGTGGAATGGAAGTTTGCAAGAGCAAGACTGTGGTTCTCCTATTTTGAGGAGGGCAGAACACTTCCAGTACCTTTCAATCTAGTGCCTAGCCCCAAATCCCTACTTTACCTCTCACTCAGAATAAAAAAGTGGATCTCTAAAGTGTTGCTTTGCCATAAGAAAGGTTTTCAGGAAGATGCAGAGATGAATCAGGTAACTTTGTGGGATAAAACACTACTTTCAAGATTTGCATATAATTTTACATGATTTTTTTTAATTTAATGGGGAAATATTTCAACTACATACCATGGAATGTCATAGCTATTCTCTTTAATGTTTCAGTTAGAAAGATGGAAAAATGATTTTATTTTTAGGGTTACTCACCAGTTGAATCTCCTTCAGGCAAGAGGGCATCTTGGAAAGCATAATGTATTTCTCTTAGTTTTTACCATTCAGTTTAAAGATTGCATTAACTTTGTTGCAGCACTGAAGATTGCAATACCCCATGGGTCTCTTGTGGGAATCTGGAACTTTAAGCAATGGTAGCATGTATAAGAGGGAAGTTCTGGGGGAAATGACTCTGCTAGGTAGCCTGTACTGAATGGCGATTGAGTGGAAGGCTCCCCTGCCATTATCAGTTGCACAGACTGGGGCTGCCCCTTCAAGTGCCAAAGCAGATGTCTTACCTGGAATATCCATATCCCTTGACAGGAGAGACTCCACTCAGTGAATCATCAGCATCTGAAGTATGGTTGGTGGAAATGTGGGAAATGCAAAGTCTTTTCAGTGGCTTTGTCCAGCTCTGGAACTCCCTCCACCAGCAGGCCCTCCTAGTTCCTTCATTGCTGCTCATCCATTGCAGGGAATCTTGGATATTGTTTAACTTCTCTGCATACCAGGCCTTGCTTTCTTCTCATGAAAAAGCAGCTCTCCAAACTGATACCCAGCCAGGGTTGCCACTCACACATCACGAAAAAGGACACATATATAATTTGTTTGTGCTAATTTAAATGTATAGATGCAAATTTTCAAACAATCACATGTCTCCATAGTGAGGAAGACTAGGTAACCTGCGTGCAAGCTTGGCCTGCTGTCCAGTTGCTAACTGTAGAGGGACAACTTCAGTAGCCCTGCTGCTTAGGGTTCTTTAGGGTTCTTCTTGGGGCTCTTCATCTTTAATCTGGACTTGGCCCTTCAAATAGAGGACTGCCTTCTGCAAAGTAGGACACATGGCCACCTTGACCCCAGTACAGTTGACTAGTTGTGGAATGGCGTGTACATCTAACTGTGAGTGATGTAAGCATCTGCAGTAGCTTTTGCAATCAAATCTGGAAGCTGAGGTGCACTCAGTCCCCAGAAGATCTCCTTCCTGGGTAACTTGAACAAGATTTTGTGCTCTAGGAAGAAAGTGCAATTGCATAGACTCAGACAGACAGAAGGTTCAGAACAACTGGCCAAATCCAAAAGGCAACAATATCTGCTAAGGAACTTGGAAGTGTTGGCATTACATCCTTGCTGCCAATATTATATTAGAGTTCTTGATTGATTATCAATATTTGATTGACTAATTTTTAGAATTTTATAAACCATCCTTAATCAACAGGATCACCGGGTGAGGTACACAACTTCAGAAACAAACAAATGCAGTATAAAAATCATGCAATTGCAAAATAAAACAAATAAAACAACAATATCTTTTAAACCAGCAAATCAATCAATGGTCAATACAGTTTAAAAGTTAAGTCTAATTTGTTTAAGTTGTTGTTAAATCAATGCTTAGGCTAAAAAGAAATGTTTTAGCCTAGTACAGAATGTCAGCACCAATTGTATCTTCCTTGGAAAGGCATTTCAGAGTGGAAGCACTTCCACAGCGAATGCCCTCTCTTCTATAGAGGCGAGCATATGTGGAGAAAACCCTGCTCTGAATGGCTTAATGCGCAGTATGCGAGGAAGCCCTCCCAGGTCCTTGGGCCCCAAGCTAACCAGCAACCTTTAACTGGGCGCGATAGAGAAAAGGAGTCTGTGTAATTCCTTAAAGAATTGATGTAGCACAGCTGCATCGTGTCAAGCCAGTCAGAATTATCCACAATTTGAAGCTTCTGAGCTCTTTTCAGGGGCCACCCCCACAGATTGGCAAGTCATGTACACAGTGGCAAACTATAAGAAGGTGTGGCCGGAGCATGGGCAATAAGAGGGTTGTGACAGTGATGTTGTCAGTGTTCTTGTGGAACAAATGGGGTGACATAAAGATTGGAAGGGAAGCACATACTAGAAAAATAACGGCAACTGCTCCTTGCCTGTTGGTTTTCCCCCTTTGCAGTAAAAAGTTAAAGCAAACTGGCAGGAATATGTATGTGTTTATATTAAGAGCTCAGCTTGAACCATTTTCTATCTTCATAAAGAATATTTATCAGCTATTTTAACTGGTTGATTTGCTTTTGGTTATTTCTTACCTGTCACCGAGAAAGGCACAATGAAGTACAAGGCCGCTCATATTATGCTTCATATCAGCCTCCTCGTATCAGGTGAGGGAATGAAAAGCTGTTTGGAAACTGAGCATAGCCTGCCACCAAGTGCTGAAATAGCACCATGCGGCTTCCTTTGGCTCCCGAGATTGCTGTTCCACTGGCTTACTCATTTGCAGCAAATGAGCAAAGTCTACTCACATTAGCAGTGTGGCATGAGAAGAGGCAACAACCAGAATGTTTTCCAGGATTAGACAAACACAGGGAGAGTTTTCTCCCTGAAAGCAGTGTTGCAAAGGTCTCCAGGCATTCTTTGGCATGTTGGATTCTTTTTCATTTTGAACTGCCTACTCAGTGGAATGAGCAAGAACTCCATAATTTTATTTCCATTACACTAGAGGCAACCAACCTTGCTTTTTGGAGACTTGGGCTCAGTTTGTGGATTATGGAAGGGACATGTTTCTGTTATGCTGAATTAGCTTCCCTTGCCACCCAGATAATGAATATTAGGAAGCTACAAAGAAAACTTGTGACAGCTCCAGTTTCTGAGGGGGTTGGTGGACTTGGGCAGGATGCTATCCACATGTCCCTCCATGATTCTTGAGTGCACGCTCCTCTTCCTTCTACCAGCTGCTTCTGCCCTCTTGTTTCCCTGTCATTCTGGGTCCAATCAGCAAAGGACTTGCCTTTCTCCTTGCTCCCATGGTCAGAGAGGCTGGTGTGCAGGCAGCAATAAGGAGGTGGAGAAGCAGCAGGGTAGGTGGCTCCAGCAATTAGCGCTGGGCCCATTTCTGAGGCAGGGGCCCCGGAGATGCCCCACCATTCCTACTGGCAACGCTGCCACTCCTGCCATGCTGGAAATGAGCTGTTACACACAATGGTCTCTGAACATATGGACAATTCCGAAGACTGAATTCACTCACACTTGATTCTGACTGGGGCCAGCAGGTGCAAGCAAAAGAAGAGCATGCTTGGAAAACGGCCTTCATCCGGAAAAAGAAAAAGAAATATTGCCAGCACGAATTATAATCCCCCAAATCTCTTCTCTGCTGGCTGATAACTTCAGTGGCAGTTTGCTTTCTTTTGCTTCCTCCCTTTGTCTCTTCCATTTCTCTTTGAAAGGAGCAGTGGGAATGTTCTCTTGCCCTCTTTTCATGCTGCAACAACCCTGTGAGGTGGCTTAGGCTGACAGTAACAGGCTGAAAGTCACCCAGGGAGATTCATGGCCAAGTGGGGACTAGAACCTGGATCTCCCAGGCCCCCAGTTCAGCATTTGGCCACCACATCACACTGGCCCTCAGCACCCCTGACAGATAGCGACGGATCTTAAATACATCCAGCAAAGGAGATTCCACAATCTCACAATTTCACTCTGTCCCATTATCAAGCATTTCTTAGTCTACCATGCCTTTTTCTAGTAAGCTTTCCTTCTCCAGGCAAACCACAACCATCCCTTTCAGGCTTTCCTTACGGGACTTTCCTTACAGACCATTCATTCAAAGCTTTTATAGACCATCCCATTACTAGCATCTCGGGATGGTTTACAACAAGCACAGATAAAAATGGCACGGGATCCCTGTGGCCCCCCTTTTCTAGAAATGCGCCAGTTTTGCCATTGTTATAAAGTTGTGCCTAGAATTATCCGTGCCATCCATTATCATGCCATGCATAATTTTATACTCCTTGATCATGACCCTATTTTTAATTTCAGAATTTAAAAGTCATTCCGAGCATTCTATATAATACTGCCGACCTCAACACCCCCATGCTTCAACCGAAGGATTTTGAACAAGCACTCCAGTGCAAAATAGCAGAATTAGAATTCATCACCAATTTCTATTCCATTCATTTTGGCCTTAATTTGGAGCTCTGGGTGTCTTTCCTACTACAGGTATTAAACCGGAATGACCTGATGATGAGGATTGACTGATTGATAAAAAATACAGTGACATTTTAAAAAGAAAATACTCATAGCGGATAGCATCATAACATCAAAACACATAGAATGCTAATATATGCATTAGATCAAATTAATAATCTATTCCTTAAAATCAAGGTGAAAACAGAAGCACAGCAAGTAATAGCAAAACACATGAGATACAATTTCACTTCCAGCAAAGCAAAAGAAGGTTTTTATCCAGTCATAGAGGTCATGGTTGTTAGAGATAAATCTCGCTTTGAAGTCAGTTCACAGTCCAGGCACAACCCCAGAAAATGATGTTTCCTGCATCCCAGCAAGTCTTAAATCAGCCACTATCCAGACATTCTTCCACGTGTTCAGGCATAGATTGTGTTTCTCTGCTGCCCAATAGTTGCAAAGTTCAGAAAATAAGGTTATGATGCTAAAATACAAATATTGCCAAACCATAAAATACAAATATTAAAAACCTGTGAAATACAAATATTAAAATCCACAGTGCATTGCTCCATATGTCACAATATGCCACTCTGAGATCAAAGCATAAAGGGAATGTCATTCGAATGCTGATCCATGACGGTGCTGATAGACAATCAGTCTCTGCAAGGCTTGCTTGAGCTTGTTTCCAGCTTTCTTCCCCTGCCCACTTCTTGCTAATATCCTGGGGCTTTTGCAGCAAAACGCCTATTCCCCTGCTGTGATTAGATTATTTTCCCACCTCCAACTTTCTTGCCTGACAAAGCTCTTGCATATGCCATAACTTCAGAGTGGAGTAGGAACTTGTCATACCTGTTAGGATAAAGTGGCTGATGGCTTTATTTTCTTTCTTTAGCACTGAAAAATAGCTTCCTTGGTTGTTCCTTGAGGCCTGTTCCTTCTTCAGGCCCAGCTTTGCATGTATGTGTGATTGACCTCCCTCTGGTTCAGCGTGTGCACCCTCAATTTGGGACCACAGTGATGCGGGGGATTTACACTGTCTTACCCTCCTCCCTTTACTCGGGACTCCCTCGGGACTGCCACTGTGCTGCTGGGCTGGTTGATCGAAAGGTTGCCAGTTCGAATCTGCACAATGGGGTGAGTTCCCGTTGCTCCGTCCCAGCTCCTGCCAACCTTGCAGTTCGAAAGCATGCAAGTGCAAGTAGAGAAAAAGGTACCCCTTCGGTGGGCAGGTAACAGTGTTCCGTGCACTTCGGTGTTTAGTCATGTCGGCCACATGACCACGGAGACTGTCTGCAGACAAATGCTGGCTTCCTTGGCTAGGAAACTGAGATGAGCACCACCCCCTAGGGTCAGGCAGGACTGAACGTAATGTCGAGGGGAAACCTTTACCTTTACTTACCCTCCTCCCAAATTAAATCCCTCTACTGTTTTCATGCTGAGACCTCACCCTGCAAAAAGAGAAAAAGCTTAACCCCCTCCTTAACCATTTCTCATGGTGGGGAAGGATTCTGCATGAAAAAGAAGGGTGGAAGCTTAAAGCCCCTTAAAGCTTAAACCTGTGGCCCCAAACTGGGGCACAAGTGCTCACCCAGAGATAAGCCAATAATGCAAATAAGCACAGAAGTGCTAACTCAACTCACAAGGGGATAAAGTATGTTGTCAAATCGACTGTTTAGTTGGAGAAGGAGCGATGGAGGGCACTCAGTGGAATGGGCGGGTTTTTCACCCTGGGAGTCCTTTCAAAGAAGCCACACAGAACTGGGTTTGGACTTCACAGCAATCCGGTAACAAGCCAGGAGTTCTCAAGGTGCCTTCTTCTAGAAAAATAAGGCACCCTGCAGAGATTTCACCGTGTTGAAAACATCAAGACACATCGCTATGGGAGATCACAAACATGAGGTTTTTAAATATAGCAAAGCCAGGAGAGTAAAGAAGAGTTCATCTGGCCTTGAAAAAAATACGATAGAAGTGCCAGGCAAGCCCATCTGGGAAGGGTGTTCCAAAACTGGGGTGCCACCACCAGAAGGATCCTGCCTCTAGGAGCCACATGCCTCAATTGTTCTCTAACTGCTTTAGGGTCTGGGTACTTACAAACAGGAGGAGGTGAACCTTCAGGTAACCTGACCAGTGCAGCTGATGCAGCACCAGCATAATCTGACCATGTCATCTTCTCTCCATTAACAGTCCGGTTGCTCTATTTTGGATGACTTCTAGTTTCCAGACTATTTTTCAAGGCAGCCCCACATCTTAGAGGTGGCAGTAATCCAGCTGAAGGTTACCAGAGCATGTGCAGCTGTAGCAAAGCTCTCCTAGTTCAAGTAGAGCTACTGATGTTCTACCAAACCAAGTTGGGTGGGTGGGTGGGTAGGGGGGGACATGGAGGTCACCTGTTCCTCCAGGAACACTGCTGGAGAAGGAGCACCGCCAAAGTAGCCCGACCTTTTAGGGCACAGATGGGAAACTCAGGTCCAGCACTGATCCATTTCCTAGAATTCCTCAGGCCACTTTCCATGGGGCAAGCCTCACTTTCCATGATATCTGGCACCATGGAAAAAGGGCTGCTTGCTTCCAAGTTTCAGCAGCAAGTTCCTTTGGTGTGCTCAAAATGTCCCATTTAGCTTCCTCAGAAACTGTCTCCAGAGGGCTAATGCTGCCCTTTCTGAAAAGAACAAACCCAATTTAGGAAGGGACTATACCCTGCAGTGGGACTGCAGGTGGTGCAGTGGTTTAAACCGCTGTGCTGCTGGGCCTGTTGATCGAAAGGTCGCCAGTTCGAATCTGCACAACAGGATGAGTTCCCGTTGCTCCGCCCCAGCTCCTGCCAACCTTGCAGTTCAAAAGCATGCAAATGCAAGTAGGTAAAAAGGTACCACCGGTGGGCAGGTAACAGTGTTCCGTGCACTTCAGTGTTTAGTCATGCCGGCCACATGACCACGGAGACTGTCTGCAGACAAACGCTGGCTCCCTCGGCCAAGAAATGGAGATGAGCCCCCTAGAGACAGGCATGCCTGGACTTAATGTCAAGGGGAAACCTATACCCTGCAGTATATCTTTATATGGATGGACTCATATTGGTAATATTTTACATGTTGACTTCCATTCTGATTATATTACCCTCTTTTCATCTCATACGCATTTGGATTCTATATAGAAATGTCACAATCCTACCCACCCCTATTACCATTTCATGTAGTGGCTGTTTGGTTCACAGTTCCTATTAATGAACTCCTGTTCCCAACTCTGAGATGGATCAATTCCACAAAGAAAACCACAGCCTTGAGTTTTCAAGAGCTGAACAGGGCTGTGAAGGACAGGCCATCTTGGAGGGTACACCTTCATAGGGTTGCCATAACTTGGAGGTAACTTGGTGACACACAACAACCCCTGTGCATTTTCTGTTCCACTACCTGAAGACTGGGCTTGTGCACCTGAGCCACTGAGCTTTACGCCATAAAAGGACATACCACAAGAATATCTGTTTGCTCTCAAGGCATTGCAGCACTCATGGTACTTTTGGTGGCTGCCTGGACTCCCACAATAGGATGAGTGGGGAGGTGTAGAGCCACGGAGAGCATGCTAGCTAACATTCCTAGCAGGCATTATTCCCTTGTAAGAACAGGAAGTCCTTTTCTACGGCAGCAGATATTCCCTTCCTATTCCAGCCCTAAGTCTCTACAAGTGGGACTTGCCACAAATTGCTGCAATGCACAAGGCTTCTGGCTATTTCAGTCCATTTCTGTACCCTCCCCACCTTCAGTTTTCTTTGTCCCCCTCCCCACAGGAAGTCAACATTCTGGACCGCTGGGTGTTTTCTTTGGGATTTTTGTACTTCTACAATCCTTGTTGTTGTTGTTAGCCGCGAAGTCTTGTCCAACCCATCGCGAATCCATGGACAACATTCCTCCAGGCCCTCCTGTCCTTCACCATCTCCCGGAGTCCACTTAAGCTCACACCCACTGCTTCAGTGACTCCATCTAGCCACCTCATCCTCTGCCGTCCCCTTATTTTGCCGTCAGTTGTTCCCAGCATTAGGCTCTTCTCCAGGGAGTTGTTCCTTCTCTTTAGGTGGCCAAAATATTTGAGTTTCATCTTCAGGATCTGGCCTTCTAAAGAGCAGGCAGGGTTGATCTCCTCTAGGACTGACCGGTTTGATCGCCTGGTGGTCCAAGGGACTTGCAGGAGTCTCCTCCAGCACCACAATTCAAAGGCCTCCTTTGGCATTCAGCCTTCCTTATGGTCCAGCTTTCACAGCTGTACATTGCAACTGGGAAAACCATAGCCTTGACTATATGCACTTTTGTTGTCAGGGTGATGTCTCTGCTTTTTAGTTTGTTGTCTAGATTTGCCATAGCTTTCCTCCCCAGGAGCAAGCGTCTTTTAATTTCTTGGCTGCAGTCCCCATCTGCGGTGATCTTGGAGCCCAGGAAAATAAAATCTGTCGCTACCTCCATTTCTTCCCCATCTATTTGCCAGGAAGTGAGAGGACCAGATCTTCCCTTAGCCAAATGATACCTCCCTCTGCTGCAGTTCTGGCTACATAAGCAACAGTGTTCATATTTTAAACCTTTGACACAAAGGGAATAATGTATAAAGTAACCTACTGGAATATATGGGGAGGAAAGTACAAAAAGAGGAAGAAGATGGATTTACCTAAGAATCTTCATTGAGAACCAGTGTTGCCGAATGGTTAGAGTACTGGACTGGGACTCAGGTGACTTGTAGTCCTCATCCAGCCATAAATTTCACTGGGTGGCTTTGGGCCAGTCGCAGACTAACTTACCTTACAGGGTTGTTTTGAGACTAAATGGAGAGACGGACCTTGTTAACTGCCTTGGGTTTCTTTCGAGAGGCAGAAAGATGGAGTATAAATGTAATGTGACAACAGTAATTGTAATAACTTTTCTTTGCTTGCTATTTTTCAGATAAGTCAAAGAAAACAATCAAGTATCAGAAGCAGAGATGACTTCAACTTAAACAGCTTAAGCAATCCACAAAGGAAATATCAGGTAAGATTTAGATTCTAACAGAGCAGAACTGTAATAAAACTGGAAAGCAAATGAAAACAAGATTGTTCAGAAGCCAAGACAATAAACTTCAGTCATATGGCCATTGGCCAGACTTTCTTCTGTCACAATTATAGAGCGATTCAAGCAGTTTCAGATGTGTCAAGATCCCCCATGCCTCCTTCAATATGTGATGCGAACCACAGAGAAGATGGGAGGATTTTGTTTGGGAAAACAGAATGGAGAAATGACTCCACCGGTCTCGATCCAGCTGGGGCCCCATCATGTCTGCTGACAAATTTAAAATAAAATAATGGGTGAATCTCTGTATCACGCCTACTTTAGCTGTAAGACTGCTGACCTAAATATGCCAGAATTTGTAATTTGTAAAATATGAAGTTGTGTATATATGCATTTGCAATCTTATGCATATTTATTTGGGGGTAAGCCCTATTGATCTGCTAAGCAAATTTGGCATGTTCAAGATGCATAGCTCAAAACTAGAAAGACTGCTTTGTTTCCTTTTCCTAGAAAATTATGAAACGTCTTATTAAACGATATGTATTGAAAGCTCAAGTGGACAAGGAGAGTGATGAAGTCAATGAAGGTGAGTTTTCAAAACGGATGTAATTTACATTTTGGCAACCAGAACTCAGGCAGTAGATGAGCTTAAAAAAGGATCTTCCCCCACCCCCCTTAAAACAGGTTTAAATTACATCTTTATTACATTTATTTTAATTTCTAGCACATTCTAGAATAGCAGCTCAGAGCTCTGGGAGAGTTTCTGCATGAGATATTTCTCATATGCTCCTCATTCCATAGATAGCCTTATGACCCAGTTTTGCTTCTGTGTCTAAATAGCACTTTTGGTGAGCCTTTTTACAGCAGGGAAATGCAGCTTTTCAAGTTAAATAAAACCTGATTTCTTCTTGTGTATTCATGCTATTCCACTGAACCACATTGCCACCTACAGGTTATGTCGTGGAAAAGGACTTGCCTGTCATGCAATGTTTGGATCTCAGCTTGAAAATCAAAAGTAGACAGTGGATTAAACAGTTTTGTGCAGAAAAACTCTTGGATTATAAAATTTTTAAAACAACATTTAATCTGGGACTTAAAATTAATAGAAGTCCAGACATAATGATGGCAGGATCCTGCCACTTTCTATAAAGTAAGGGAGATAATTAAAATACACCGGGATGAGCAGAAGGAGTAACTGAGCCCTTGGTGAAACTGCCTTTTTAAGAAGCTCTTTTGCCCTACTAGGAAGGACAAGTTCAGCTGCCTCTCCTCACATATATTTTTCTATGCATTTTATTTAATATTTATATGCATTTCAGTATATTTCTGAGTCCATAACTCTATCACAAGATTTTGGGAAGTGGGAAAACTGAAGGATAATTGCATTTAAATCCACATATTAGTCTGGCAAGTAGGTTAGTTCACTTAAAATTGAAGACCAAACAAAACAAACAAAATCCATAAACATCCCTAGAGTAGAGAGTCAGACTGGGATTTGGGAGATGCTGGTTACAATCCTTTTCCAACCATGAAGTTTGTGGAGGTGACCTTAGACTCCAAACTCCCCTGTGAAGAATGGTTGCAGCAACTGAGATTGTTTAACTAAGAAAACAGGTAAAGAAGGGAAGAGTCGCTTAAAATAATACATACTGTGGAGAGAGTAGAGAACATTTTTCTTCCTCTCCTGAAATACTAGAACCCAAAGGGGTCATCCCATGAAGCTGACTGGTGGGAGATTCAGGACAGAGAAATGGATGTGCTTCTTCACACAACACATAGTTAAACTCTGGTATTTACTGGCATTGGAAGAACTGATGGTCACCCGTTTGGACAGCTTTAAAGGGGTATTGGACAAATGCCTGGAGCAGGAGGCCATCCGTGGACACTAGCTGGCTGGCTAGGTTCTGCCTTTGTTATCCAAGGTGGCAGGCCTGCATGTTCCAGTTGCTGAGGGGCTTGGGCAGGTGGAATTCTTGTCCACATCCTGCTTGAGGGACCCTGTGGGAGATGGGTTGCCACCATGTGAACCTTCTGCTGGACTGGATGGATCTGATCCTGCATAACTTTTCTTATGTACTTAACTTTCAGCCCAAACTACCTCACTGGGTTGTTATGTATGCCACCTTGAGCTTCTGGGAAGAAAGGTGGGATTTCAATTAAATAAACTAAGGCTTCAATCCTAGGCAAGTTTAGATGGAAAAAAACCCTTGTAAACTAAACTTGCATTGAATTGCACCGTAAACAACACAAGGAACAGAGTCCAAATCATTTTTGAGGAAAATGGAGTGAGCTTGTAGAACGAGTAGTAATAGGAGAGGTGAAGTACACAACAAGAGAACCCAAACCTGAGATTTGGTTTTAAAGGGTAACATACAACATATCTGACGTTTATGACATGCTGGAAGGCTGTTTCGGGACAGTGGCTGCCTGGTCATTCCATATAAATCCATCAAGCCAGGAAAGGCATGCATAATTTTGCAGGACATAATCTACCGCCTTTGCATAAATTCAAAAAGAATATGATAATAATGGCAGCAATAACAGTAACAAGCAATAATGTGTGTTAGCTCTGAAAGCCATGAACAGGTTTCTCCTGTTCTTCTTGTAAGTTCTTGATCTTCTCTTACAGGTGAGCTGAAAGAAATTAAACAGGACATCTCAAGTCTCCGCTATGAGCTCCTTGAAGAAAAATCACAGAACACAGAAGACCTGGCAGAACTCATCAGGAAACTTGGAGAGAAGCTGTGTATTGAGCCAAAACAGGAACAAAGTAACAGATAACATGAACTTCTTTCTGAAAAGAAAAGAACTCTTTTAAGCTGGCAGTACAAGGAAAGCCATATCCATCTTATCTTTCTTCTTCTCCAAACATAATTGACACTTTTACAGTGGATACAGAAGGAGACACATCTTGAACTGATCTTTTTTTGATTTGCAATTGGGGAAACCAGCATCTGAACAGAGTTATTGAATCCTGTCCACTGAGGAACACTTCGAGCATTTTTAATAATCTTAAAATAAAAAAGAGCAAAATATGGTTTGAGAAACTGCACAATTAAAATATATAAATGCTGGTTTAATTGCTGATCCCAGGAAGCTCTTGCTTCCTCTTTGTTATTTGCATTCACACAGATGTGCACACAGGAACACATCCCTTACACTCATACGCATTTTTACCAAGCAGAATGGTCTTTGGACATCTTTGAGGGTGTATCTACAATCCCCACCTGTACTCATTTAACTGCCCGTGGCTTTTTCCTCCAAAGGATCCTAGGTGAAGTTGCTAAAATCTCTAGTCCTCCTTCTACAGTCTCTAGTATTCCTTGCAGAAAGGGCTACACCAATTTGAATCTGTAGCATGGATATGCTCTGTAGCAGAGGTCACAACCTTCTCACAGAAAGTGGTATTTCATTGCCAGGTTGGACAGAACACCTCTTTATTCTGACACATGTTTAGAACTTTGGTTTGGTATATTCAGGTGTATGATAGAAGGATGGATGGATGAATGGATGGACAGATGAACAGACACTCTTATGTTTAGGAACAAATGCCTGGAACCAGGTGCTTAGGTTGGTATCCTGATCCAAGAGCAATGTCTGTCTTCCATCCCTCCTAGCTCTTGTTAGTTGCTGACCAAAGGGCAGCCGTACATTCTGGCATCTTGCTTGTATGTACGTGTGTATGCATGTTATGTTCATTTCCATGTAAGAGCTAGTACAGCCAACTTTCCATGGGTCACTGCCCAGCAGGTGATAGTTGTTGGATTCAACCTATGGAAAATTTGACACCACCCTTCATCCAAATGGATTCTAGCATATGTACAAAATATTTAAAAATCTAAATCACATTGACAATACTGTTCACAAAATACTATTTTAAAAATCTTCATATGAACAGTAAAGCTGTACTGGAAACAGTACAGCTAATTAAAAGACCTGGCCAATTAAAATGTCTTGACCTGGGACTATATAGCCTTGTGCCTACAGTTTGGAAAGACTGCTTTAGTATTTTGGAAAGAGGAGGACCATCTCACCAGATGTCTGTCAAAGTCCTGCTTGTCCCTTGGCAAGACTGCGGTTCTCCAGCGTGGGACTTTCTGAGGGGTTGTTTCATCATTTGTGCAGGTTTCAGGAATGGAAGTCAAGGCAGTTCCCCTCACTTTCACCTACTCCTTTTCCCCCTCATGAATGAGCCCAATGTGCAGACTTCAGTTTAGATCAAGAGTACACAGAAGGTAGATCTCCAGGAATTATGGACTTCAGCTTTCAAGAGGCCCTACTGGCATGGGCACTGATCAGGTATGCTGGGAGTTGAAGTCCAAAACATCTGGAGATCTGCTTTCTACCCATCCTGGTTAGATTGAATTAGGTCTCAAACTCATGCATATTTAGGCAGAGAGGAATCCTGCAGCTTCCAGCATTCCCTTGCTGCCCTTGGCGACAAGGGAATGCTGGGAGTTGTAGGACTCTTTTTTGCCTGAACATGCATCGGAATGACTACACCTTTATACTCCTCACCAATCATAATGACCCTTTGAACAACCAGCACATGGGTCAACATGGAATCAGGTGCATCATTTTTTCCCTCATGGAGGAAGTACCAAGTACTCGGGACCCACTGGAGAACAGCAGACTACTTAAGTCCCCTCAAAAGACATTCAGGTTTCTTATTTGAGGTCTCCACCATCCCCCACTGTAACATTGCAGCCTTTCCTTCAACACGGGGGGCCATTCACAGAAGGTGGGAATCAGCGGAACCGTGCACATGAGGACAGCAGAACTCTGAGGCACTTTTCAGTCGTTCCCAGAGTACAATAAAGGAAGCTGTACAATGTTCTGCCATGCAACTGTTTACAGGGTATGTGCAATTGTCCCCCTCCATCTTGTAAGACTAAGTACCAACAAGCTCGCATGAATCTTTGGGAAAATCACAGTTCTCTGAGGAAAAGGGGTTACCTGCTTGGGGTTTCCCTCCTGGGGCACTTCCTTCGATCAAGACTTTCCCATTTGGAACACATTCTTTGTGGAGTATTCCATAATATATGTTGTTGTAATTTTCCCCTTTGATGTTGCTGCTGCAATGTGCCATCCAGTCACCTCTGACTTACGGCAACTCTTCGAAGGAGCACCCTCCACACCGGCCTGCTCACAACAGCCTTGCCTTGCTCTTGTACACGCAAGGCTGTGTCTTCCTTTATGGAATGGATCCATCTCACAGCGGCTCTTCCTCATCTCTTTCTGCCTTTGACTTTCCCCAGCATAATTGCCCTCCCCCACCCCATGCTGGAGGTTTAAGCAACAGCTCTCCAAGAAAGGGAGCAGTTTATATTCATACATACGACCTAATGCATCCTAAGGTAATGTTTACATCAGTGTGGTCATTTCTTACATGACTTTACATCACATTATATGGTCAAGTTAATTGTGTTTCTGCAGCAGATCAATGTACTTAGTGTCATATTGTGTTTGGTAATTCCTGAACAAACAACACATTTGAAGAGCTTGCTTTGTATAAACAGCTCTCCAAAGTTTCAACAGAGCATCTGGAAAGAAGAAAATAAAAATCCCTGGCTGGCTATTTTATCCTTAAGATGCAAGCAAAACCTGAGCAAAGGCGATACCATGTTAATTATACCTTTACATTTAATATGCACAGAAACAAAAGCAAATAGCTGTTAGAAAGGGGCTGGTGAAGGTTAGAATCACAGCAGCCGGGGAAGAAGCATTTAACCCTTTCTTTACCTGCTATGATCCTCTAGAACTGCTGTTCTCATTGGCAGGAAATCCTCCACCCCTACAGAAGCCTTTTTTTCAGGACTGTAGGGGGAGGATCAGGTCAAATTACTCCTCCTTGCCTGTTGAAATCCTGATAATCCCACAACAGTTGCAGTTTGCATTTTTAAAGTTTGTGTGTTAAATGCAAATATACATTCAATGTTGGTTTGGCCCACAGCCTGGAAGACAACTTTGCATGTTGAGGAAATGGTTGCTTTTAGCCCACACACAGATGTGTACACACACACATGCACACCATCTATGAACTGTGTTTAAAGGTTGTAAGATAAAAGCATCCACTAGGGCAGTGGGGAGCAGGGGTTGTGAGCTGGTGGCTGTAATTGTAATCAAGTTCACCATGTCTAGGAGTGTCAGTCATGAAACATTTGGCAATTAAGCCGTGTTTGGCATCAGCCGTAGCTATACAGTCAGGGTCAGCACGTGGCATACCTGGTGGACTGGTCCACAGATTTTTCTATAAGCCTAGCTCAGTGAATTCAGAAGATATAGGTGCTTAAAGCTTACGTGAGCAAGTTGTAGGCTGGAGCATCAAGAGGGCCACAACCCCCATCATCCATCACCACTGTCTATGCCGCCTTGAGCTGATGGAAGCTGGAAAGCAAAACAGCTAGAGGGTGATTTACTTCCCATGTGTAAAAGAAAGCCTTAAAAATAAATGGAAATCTAGGACACAGCTTAGATTAATCATATTTTGCAAAATTAATAAAAGTAAGGTGCTAAAGCTGATGTGCCACCTGGCTGTCCTTAACAACTTGTCTTGGATTAGTGGTCCCGCCATCTTTGCTCCCCCAAGGAAATCTGGGAAAGCTGCCCCTCCATCATGCTGCTTTTCTGGCTTTTGGTCAGAATCTTGAAGGATGCTTTTCATGTGTAGGGGGCAGGAATCTGGCAGAGAAACAAGTCAAGCAGCAGAGCAGTGTGTAGTCCCTGGCCCTGTTCACCAGAGGTGACTGGTCCAGCCAGGGGTCTGTGTGAGCTGAAAGTGTGCACTGCACATGCACAGAAGCCTGGGACCTCCTGCAGCTTGCAGGGATTCCATGGCGGTTGCTTTCTGGTTTCTCGGGAAGCAGAGCGAAGTGATGTCTGAGCAGGCACTAGAACCTGGATCTCCTGAGTCCCAGTCCGGTGCTCTTAACCCCTACACCACACTGGCTTGCATAGGGAATACCTGTAAATGGAAGACTGCCCTCTGGCTTTCTGTCAAATAACATACTGTCCTTTGTAAAGAATCCAGCCTACCTTACTCCACCACCCTACCTTACTTTGTAAATAGGTTGTGTTTATTTTGTGGTGAAGGAACAAAACTCTGCATATCCTCACAGCCACTTATTACTATGGCTTCATTTTTTCCAAATGTGATCCCAAGGCCTTTATTTATTTGAAAACCCCTATCAATCTTCCTCCTGCCCAGCCTGAGAGCAAATGCAAGGCAGCACATGGAACAAAATATTCTACAACGTTTCAAAGCATCAATAACTAACAGCACTCCTATAAATGGCAGGCATGAGAGAACAAGGGCCAGAGGACAAATGCAAAATAATTCCTGAAAAACAACATATAAAGACAAGGAATTTGACGAAGTAAGCCCAAAGAGGGCATGCAGTCAAAGCCACCTTAAATAGGCAATGCAGAGTCCTCCCAGGCTTACCTAAAGATTCCAGAGATTAGAGCTAGAGCCTTTTCCGTGCAAAGCACGTACTTCCACACTTGGCCACAGTGGTTCCCTCAAGCTTCTCTAACCAGCCTCGCCCTGGAGAGGAGCAGGAGAGTCTGCAAACAGTAGGGTGGGATGCCTTGAGACATCCCTGGAATTGTTTGCACACTCTTCTTTCGGTGCCACTAAAAGCTGGAAAGAGTCCAGCAAGTGATTTCTCCAGATCTCTCTGCTTCCTCAAACCAAGAGTTTTACCAGTTCTCGTTGGAAGCATTTAGCCCTCCGGGAATCAAGGTCTCTTTCTATTTTGAAGGTGGCTTTCATAGGTACATTAAAATACAGTTTCCCCACCTCTTGATTCACCTCATTTGATATTGTCTTTTCCTGAACCGCATGAATCCAAGAAGCTGCCTTATCCCATATTCACCTACTCATTTTGCTTCTTCTCACTGGTGGTGGCCTCTCTCTAGGGTTTCAGGAAGGGAAACGTTCTCCATGCCCTTCTACCAGATCCCTTTAACTGGGAATAATGGAGTTGGACCTACATACTTCTGCCCTACTGCCGGAG